GACGGGCCTGAGGAGACGCCCGTATTTAGGATTGACCTGCAGGCCGGCACGTATCCGCCGTTCCGTCTTTTGTGGGCGAATGCCAAGCCGAGCTTTCATTCATTGCGCGGGTCCAGGACCCCCCTGGACCGATTATTGTGGATGGAGACGGGTCGGACAGCGACTTTTTTGTCCGGTTCGCTTCCGACATGTCGACGCCTGAGTACCCGCCTTTTGGACAGGATGGTTGAAGCTCGGGTGTTGGACTTTCACTAATCGAGCAGCTTAGAAGCGTGCAAACTGCCCATGTAACAACAATCTCGACGCGTTGCGGCATACACCAACGTAGCGCTCACAATAATTTCATATACATCAACATTGATCATCTTCATCACGATATGCGATAATGTCAAGAGCAAATCAGGAAGGTGATAAAGGACAGAATTTGATCAACATCTGTCACTTTCAATTGGTAATATCAATGTAAACTTTCGGCAGGGACAAGTCGAACGGCTCAGTTCTTGAGGTCAGGGTTAACCCGAGTGGTCTCGTTGACACCCACGTCGGCTTGTGTAGGGTACTCCGACGTGGTCGTCTCTGGGCCCTTGGAGTGTTGCTGCTGAAGGCTGTGGTAGAATTCGTCGCTCTCGTCAATGACGTACTTGGACGACTTGCGAGCAGGGACACCCTTCTGGAACTGTTGCACGATGCGAGTTAGCTTCACACAAAAGTATAGAAAAGGGAACGGCGGCGCTGCTTACCATGTAGTCCATCTCTCCGAAGGTGCGGTCTTTGGTCTCGAAGAGACGGAAGTAGCCCCAGACAAGCGTGAGAGTGGCGAGGACGGCCCAGAAGTAGGCAGTCTTGCCCTTCCAGTTCCAAGCACCGGGGGCCATCATGCGGGGCTGCAGGATACCACCGCAGATGATGTTACCAACGTAGTAGAAGCTACGGCCCAGAACGACAGTGTGAGTGCGCAGACGAGTCGAGCCAATCTCAGCGACAATGGTGTAGACGATGGGGCCGACACTCATGGAGTAGGCGCCGAGCCAGACAACACATAGTAGAGACTGTGTCCAACCGAGAGCGATGGTCTGGTTGGGGATACTAGCCAGGATACCAATGAGCCAGAGGATGACGACCAAGCTGGAGAAACCGACGAGCCAAATGCGACGGCGACCAAACTTGTGAATGTACAGCCAGGAGATGCAAGTGCCAACCCACGCAACACCAGTGCCGCCGAGACCAATGTAGTAGGCGACGCTGTCGGGGGTTCCGGTCTTCTGGAAGACCTGCTGGAAGAAGAAAGTGCCGGAGTAGCAGAGAGCGCCACCGTTGGTGATCTGGGACATGAACGACATCATGGCAATCTCCGTGCGACGACGGTTGGTACCACGGAAACAGTCATAGTAAGAAACACCAGCACGCTCCTCCTTCTCCGTCTTGTCCGTGTGGATCATCATGGCAACGGCCGCATCGTGGTTGACTTCGTGCTGGGCAGAAGCGAGACGCTGGAGAGAGTGCTTAGCCTTTTCGAACTGGCCCTGTCGGACAAGGTACCAGGGCGACTCGGGCGCGAAGAAGGCCACCAGACCGAGAGGAATAGGCCAGATCCATTGCAGGGCAAAGGGGATCTTGAAGCTCATCTCGCCTGGCTTATCAACGAGGCCAGCAAGGATACCCGCAGAAATAAATTGACCGGTTGCCCAGCACCTAGAATCTTGTCAACACACACTGATGTCACGAGGCGTCATCCGAGCAACACTCACAAGTTGACATAGGCGGTGAGATAACCGCGAATGGCCAGAGGTGTGACTTCGGCAGCGTAGGCAGGACCGGACGTGGCGAAAACACCCCAGGGAATACCGCAAAGGACCTGGCCAGCAAGCTGGGTCTCGATGTTCTCGGCAAAGAAGACGACAAAGATGAAAGCCGTGAGCCAGGCCAGAGAGCCCATGATGGTCCAGCGATGTCCCCAGCGAGCAGTAGCCCAACCGTTGAGGAGGGCACCAACAATGTTGGCAACAGCACCAATGGTGTTGAAGCGGGTTTGCCAGTCGGCGCTGACCTGATAGCCAGACTCCTCATCGAGGTACTCGCCGTACTTGCGACGGAACTCGGGATATCCGAAGAAGCTGCCAATGAGGGTGACGTCGTAACCCTCCATGATGATGGTGGCAGAAATGGCTGATCGCAGATACCAATCAGCAATAGGTCACAGAGCTTGGTTGCGAGGTATCTCTGCACTTACCCATGGACCAGAATGCCGCGCTCTTGTATGTCTTCATACCCTGAAGGAAGCCATAGCTGTGCTCAGCATCGGTACCTTCCTGAGCTGCAGAGCTCAGGACCTTGCTGTCGAGGCCGGCGTCTGCCAAGGCGGCAGTGTTGTCAGGACCGCGCTCGATCTCGATATCGGTTGGGTTCTTCTCATTGTTGTGGGAAGCCATGACGGCGGCAGGCTGGGCTGAGAGAGCAGCTCTCTTTCAGAGGGACTTGGTGATTTGGTTCCCAGGCTGGGGTTGACGACGAGGCAAAGGGGTCGAGACGGGTGGCCATTGGGGATGGGGGTTTGCCATTTATCAACATGTTTGTCGGGTAAGCCTCGCCTCCGCATGGCGAGGGGCCCCAGGATGGCATCCTGGACCGCATCGCAGCACTACCCCAAAGGAGAGGAGCGCGGCGCGGGTGATTGTGTCGCGGTGCTCGCGCCATGCTGAATGGGGCGTAGCGCAATGGCATTCAGAGGAGGACGCCGTGGACGCTCAGGGCGAGGTTCTCCGCAAAGACGGGTGTGGACGAGATGGGCTGGGTCTGCAGGAGCATCGGGTTGTCCAGTCGAAAGCCGATCGACACTGTAGCTAGCGGCGGGTTTGGCAGGTTCCAACGGGGATGCAACATGGTGAGTGGTCGTGGGCGTCCGGGGGAGGGGTCGTTCATGGGATTGCGAGAGGGTAAGTGGCGGCCTGCCGTGTAGCCACCGCGTGCATCGAGCACCGTGAGCCCGACCATGAACCAGCTTAGGGACGACGGACCGTCAAGATGCGTTCTCGACGTGATCGTGACCCTGACTGTGGCACCCGCCATTGGTGGAAGACGGGTCCGGGGCCTGCCTTGGCACGAGGGGGTTTTGGAGAGACCGGGGTTCTGAACCTAGCGGTTATTGGGGGTGGAGCCTGGCGTCTGGTCCGGGGCACGGTCGTTTCTGCTAGTGGCGTGACATGTGGAGGAGCGGAGGAGGAAGTGCATCGCACCCTGTGCTTGTTGGTTGCTGTGGTCAAAGAAAAGGGTATCGAAATTGGGGTAACGCCTTTGGATTCGGTCGACTGTCTTGATGCCTTTGGATCAACCTGTTGGATGGGATGTTTCGAAGCTGGCTCTGATCAAGGACGACTAAAATTGGGTCCTAGGCCAGGCACTCACTCCTCATGCCTCGTTTTGCAGCGACGGGACAGACGTGGCCCGGATAAAGGGAGCGCTACAGCTAGCGGCATGGGTAAGCGGCTGTTGATTTGTGTGTCTAGGTAGTCGAGAGTTCCGGTGTTGTGATGATACTTTTTGCTGCTGTGACCCTGTGGCAGAACTTGGGATAAGGTAAGTAGGTAAGGTACCTGAGGTAGGTAGGCTGGGAGAGGCCTGTTCCGGGCCCTAGGCAGGAAGGCTTCGAAATGAAAGGAAATCTCGGCCAATGTTGCACCTGCAAGGTGGTACTTGCAGAATAGGGAGTGGAGGCCAACCATGTGCTGCAGGTGCAGGCGGGCAGCAAGTGCCTGCCCAAGGTGAGGTATGGCTAGGTATCGTCCGTTACTGCCAACCTATCAGCCAGTTGGTTGCCAGGCCCAACTTCCTTGCTTCCCAGAATCACTACTGTTCACTCGAGGTCAGGTCCTGATGGGAAGCTACGATGTCTACCTACCTACCTACCTAGGTACCTATTCAAGTGCCTGACGTGCCTGACGAATGGGGAAATCGATGCCCCAATTGATTTTAGATGCTCTCACCCACACCTCCAGACTAGGTACGTACTTAATTTCCCTTGCTGACTGCCAGGACAGGCTCATGTACCGTGCCGCACGCCACGGTCAGGCGTCCCCTGTACTCCTCCTGCATCGCCAAAAAGCGTTACTTGGTAGGCAAGTATGCTGAAAAGCCACCTCCGCGACGCCAAACACCGCCTGAAGCAATCACTGTCGCCCAAAGCCGTCCATTCCCCATCCACCATCGCCGGCTGTTCAGAAGAGGGCGCTCGCTTGTTTATTCGTCCGCCATGACATCTCCACACACACACTCTCTCTCTCTATCTCTCTCTCGCGCGTGAAGCTCTGCCTTTACCCCAGGTCTGCAGATCGCCAGCACCACGACATGGTGGGCAGGCCGTGACAGCCCCTCATGCTTGGTTCTCCCCATCCTCGCCATACTTGATACGCCTGTGCGGGGTCGAGCGCTTGTGTCCTCGGAAACACGAAGCGTTCGGCCGCATCCGCAAGCCGCTGGGCGGTGCTCCCTCGTGGAGCGCAAAGAATCTCTTTTTGGTTCGGGGCCCTGCGAGTCACCCGGCCCACCAGAATCATTCCCCACTCTCGTGCAAGTCAAGCTTGCGCTACGGACGTCCTTCGAGCCTGGTCATCCTCGGCGGTGCGGTACCCTGGTTTCGGTTGTCTTCGGCCGACTGTCGGACGACCGTCGATCAGGCACGCGTCTCCATCTGCTACAGCCGACTTGCCACGACAGCCTGGCGTCTTTTTCCGTCCCGCCTCTCAACCTTGCGGTGGCCAGATCGGTGATGAATGGTGAGACCTTGTGCCTGAGACTCGCGGCCCCGGCTGCTGGCGTCACATTTGCCCGCACGCTCGGCTATGCCATGCGGTACAGATCACAAGTTTTCTGGTCTATCATCCATCGCTTCTGCATGTTGAACCGCACTACCGGGTCAAGCCCTCTATCGTCTGTACTCCCGCCAGGATTGTTCGCCTGGCTTGACTGATGCGACATAGCGGGGAGGGGGCAGCCAGCACCCTCTCCTTTGTCTTGCGAATCATAAATAGATTCCTGGACCACGGGCGTCTTGTCACCAGATTGGGGCCAATTTCTCCAACCTTGGTCGATACGGGGGTGCTTCGGCTTCGAACCACTGAGAGGCCCGCGGTAGTAAAGCCTTGACCCTAGGGAGGCTGGCGCTTGATCGGGCTGGCAATGACGGGAGCTTCTATGCGTTCTGCGCAAGTTTTACATTCGACCGGACTGCCACTTCTCCAAGCCTGCGCAAGGGGCGTGCTTCAGCTGAACATCTTGGTGCCTGTGCTGCCAGGACGGGCTAAAATCTAGTCCTGGGATCATGGTGTGGTCGAGCCCGACCACGAAGGGGTTGGATTTAAACCGACGGTTCAAGCTCCAAGACGGCACCATCCTTGCAAACCTCTCCCACCCTCTTAGCCGCGAATGCAGGTTTTTCAAGGATGCCTGCAGAGTGAAACTATCAATTCTATCTTCGGCCACGCCCAGACCCTGAGACTGCGTGGGCCTTTCATGTCCCCGTATGAGGCCGCGAGGAGGGTGTACCGAGACAGAGATGAGTGGAGGCGGTGTCGCGACCTGGTCTCCACGTGAGATAGATCATCTGATGAGCAGGTTTGACTGGATTTGCGGGCTGGTAGGTTGCCCAGAGCTGTGTATGCAGGCTGGAGCTCTTGCAGAAGAATATCGAAAAGGCCCTTTCCCCCTGCCACCATTGGTATTGTGGCCCGACCTACTCTAATCTGTTTCCACGTCTTTATCGTTGCAAGCAACGTCTAAAAGGCACCATCTCGACCGCCGCATGACACTGTGACATGGAAGCCTGCATGTCTTTACCAAGACAGAGATTCCCGGCTAAACTTGAACAAGTGCCATTCGGCATTGATGTTTCGCTCAAAAAATTCAAATGGCTAGGGTAATCAACCACACTTATTAACTCGCTGCTTTACCCGACCTCTGCGGCAGCGCTTTCTTAACGGTTATATCTTCTGGATGACAAAGGAGGATAGGCAGTATCGTTAAGAGATTCCCACTCATGCTGATTGTTTGCAATCAGCGACGTCGACTTCCGAAAGCCGAATGGCTGGATCAGAAAGAGTCATCGACTAGTGGAGTGTACATGTTTGCTGTCAATTCTGACATGGCCGTGATTGATGATTGAGAAAAAATCCACGAACGTTCCAGTGTGGAGATTGATTCGCCACAAGATGTTTCACCCCCATCACAGAGGGCAATGGTACCGCTAGCCTTGAACTTCTGGAGCTATGCGAGGAGTATGTACGAATAAGGCTTCAGGCTCCCCGCAAGTGTTGCAACGCATTCTGCGGCAGAGCCTGCACGAGGAGTCTCGACCTTGTACTACACGAATGCGGCGCTATCAGGGCGGGAAAGAGTGTCTGAGCAACGCTTTTGGAACAGGCTGGCTAAGGTAGGCAAATGTTCAGCAAGCTTGAATTTCTCAGACCAGCTTAGGCCCTTTTCGAAAGATGACATGCTTATTGCATGGAATATCCATATGGCTCAAAATCATTCGGAGAATAATACGAATGCAAAGGATTGGGAAGTCCAGTGCCAGATACACAAGGTACACGAGCAGGTGGGTGACAAAGAAAAGGCCCACAAAAAGAGAGAGCACCCAAGTTTACCAGTAGATCAGTTCCAAACCATGCCTCGCTATCACATAGTATGCATACCATTGATTCTGTCAAGTGCTTGCTAAGGTCAAGAGTTGCGTATTGGCATCGGTGTGGACTGTCGGTGAGGAGCTTCGGTGTGATGATCTCGAGCTCGGTCTGCGCCACAAACAATCCAGACCTGTGGCGAGTGATGTTGCATGGGGAAGGTGTCGGGAAATTAACAAGCTCTCGCATCTGCATTCACTCTCGGTACTCGAATTCGGGACTCCTCTCCTTTCTTCCCCTCCGCTCATTGCTTTTTGCGACCATCAAAGAAAGTCTTTCGTCGTCGTCTCGAAGCTGCAGACTATAGGATCTCTGTCCAACCTCTTGTTGCCGCATGGCAACCTTTGTTTACATAGATACCTACCTGTCTGGTTGATGACCCCGCCATCGAGACGCTAGGCAATCAACAAAGCAACGCCCCCCCTCTCTCCTTAGCTCCCGTCGCGGGCGAGCTTCGATATCATCGACTATCGTGCGCTAAGACCCTCTCCCAAATCCGTGCATATATGCTCTCGGAGTCATTCGCAGCAGCCCTATATCGGTTCCTCTATTGCTGCAAGCCGATACGCATAGTGATAGGGCAGTGGCCAAAATCATATTCAACATGGAGGAGAAGCCAGCGGCGGTCAACCGCCAAAGTGCGATTCCCCGCATGTCACGACTCCCAACGCCAAGGTCGACATCATCTTCCAACCTCCGACCAGCTGCTTCGAAAGAGAACTTGAACCCCGTCCCGAAGCAGCGCCTTCGCCCAGCAGCTTCTCGAGATCAATTGCCCCGAGCCTCGTCGATTTCTTCCAACAGAGTCGAACCCCGCGAAGCCTTGGCCACGACGCCTCGCCCGAGACGAGACATCTCTGCCGCCAGACCACGAGCCACAGTGTCAAGACCGAGCTTAGCTGCCTCGACCACACCGACTCACTCTCCCTCGCAGACGCCTTCGAGCCACACCCCAACAGGCGATCCTCCCGCGGATCCAGACCACTTTCTCTTCAAGAAACCGACAGCCCTCACTCGACGCCCCTCCGAGGCTCGAATGTCCACGCCGAGCGATGTGACGAACCAGTCACCTGTCGATAGTGATCCGTCTGTCAATGACAGCACTGACGGCATGTCGTTCGGGACCATCCGGCCTAGGTCTTCGAAGCCAAGACCGTCTTTGTCCGAACGAACAATGGAGACACTAGCGCAGCTCCCGTCTTCCCCGGCAATGAGCAAGAAATCGACATCCTTCTTTGACCCGGACGGTACAAGGAGGTCTCGGTCAAGGGCAGGAAGCAATGGATCAAGGCCAGGCTCGAGCTATACATCCGATGGATCGATGCGTCCGCCCTCCCAGGCAAAAAGCCGCCCAGGTTCTAGTTCTGGCCCTGACGACGGTAGTGTCTCGAGCTTCAGGGCATCTACGAATACTTTTCGACAGCCTCTGACCACAATTGAGGGTACGCCATCACGGCGTACCTTCGGGGGTTTCTTCGCTGAGGACGCCCTCTGTCCCGGGCCTTGCTCGCGCCACCCCAGCCCGCCCGACAAACTTCGCGGCTTCCACGATCGGACATTCCTTCGACAGAGGTTCGAGTCCAACCAAATCAACCGGTATCGCAGCGCCGCCAAAGATTGGGGCCAAGACAATCGCGGCTCGGCCGCTGAAGCAGAGACAGTCGATCAACGGTCTCTTCAAGAAGCCTTCGTTGCCTGCGATGGACCGCACTGCCGCTGCACAACCAGCTCCTCCCAAATTTACACCGAAGCCGGCATCCAAGACGATATCGACACCATCAAGGCTCACAAAGCCGCCTCGAACGATAGCAAAGCCAGGAGCAATTGGAGCTGCATCTGAAGCCATTGGGAAGCCGGATATGGAGGCCAGTCGAAAATCATCCACTGCGCTTCGCGAGCAAATTGCACAGGCCAAAGCTGCAAAGCGCGCTGCGGCGAAGAAGGCGCCCGATCTGGACCTGGTCCCAGACTCGTTGGCCGTGACAGATGATCCAAAGTCCTTCCCGCTCAAATCCCCGATTGTGCCAGCCGACAACAGCTTCGATTTCGGGATCGCCGTAACGCATGACCCGTTCAATACACAGAGAACACAGAGCGCGAAGAACAAGATTGTGCAACAGCGTCTTGGTGATGCGCGCAACTCTGGCAGGCTCAATATCGCGGCCATGGGACTAAGTGTCATGCCTGTCGAAGTACTGAAAATGTATGATGCTGAAATGATGGGGACCAACGACGGGAGCTGGGCTGAGAGCGTCGATCTGACGAGGCTGAT